GACCTGGAAAGAACATATTGATAATGTAGTAGCCAAACTAAGCAGTATCTGCTTCTTAATGGGACAATTACGTAACACAGTCAGTTTTGATGTCTTGAAAATGGTATATTTTGCACATGCAGAAAGCATACTGTCATATGGTCTCATTTTTTGGGGGTTATCTAGTAATCTGAATGATGCATGTATTATACAAAAAAAAATGATGAGATGCATGATGAGAACGTCACCTACTGCATCCTGTAAAGAATTGTTCAGGAAAACAAGAATCTTAACCCTACCAAGTCTTCACATATTCAAACTAATTATAGATTTCACACAACAAAAACACAATATTCCCAAGAATCGAGACATCCACGACTATTATACAAGAAATATGAACAAAATCTATCAACCACTTTTCAGATTGACTATTGGACAGAAATCTCATAAATACCAACAAATAAAATGCTACAACAAATACTTGGAGTTATGCTCGGAACCAAACAAGACGGGTAAATTTAAGACTGAGCTACATTCATTTCTCTGTAACGGCGCATTCTATTCTCTGAATGGATACCTGGCGGCATGATTATTGTAACCTATATTTTATATGTGTGTATAAGTGTATATATATATATCGTAGAGTTTTCTTCTTTTATAATGTTTTATATTTATATTTGGGATTCGTTTGAATTTTTAGCCTTAGTTTTAAGATTTTGACTAGTCTGATAAGTATATATATATACAGGGTCCTGCAACAGTGGCGCGGTGTTCCATATCTCTATATAGGAAGCAGATAGGAATCTAATTTTCTATAATATTACCTTATTGCTCGAGCTCGACAAAATAAAAATATTGGCGGTCACACAGGGTGTTCGATTTTTTCTGGGCGGATCCCAACTGTGTCTTTTTAAATGGCAACCTATATTTTTTATCGCTTTTTCGGTTTCTTCATAGAAAATAAAATAAACTTTATGTATATCTGCACTTCGAAAATATTGACGGTTTTCGAGATATCTAGCATGACAGGTTTTTTTTTC